CAGTAGACTACTGGCACTTATAGGAAAGGGACATGATCTTACCTGGGTGTTTAGTATTCCTGGTACACAGCTGGGGCTCAGGAGAGGCTAATGGAATTCAAACACCTGCCTTGGCCTCTTCTTCCTGGCCCCCAAAACAAAGGCTTTGTGATATTTTCTCCCTTAGAAAACAGAGAAGATGGCGATGTCTTGGGGAAAGAAGCTACTTTGTGCCCTGTTTGAAGCCTAAACACAGATCCGGACGGAGGAGAGGGCTGGGCCGGGCGGCAGGTCAGGCCGCTGAGTTCCTGGTGGGGAACTGTGAGCGCAGCGGCGGGACTGGGTAGCCGTGACCCGGCTGTCCACCAGGGGTGCCGCTGGTGAGCGGGGCGGAGGGGGACGGCGCAGGGACCGACCCTGAGGCCTGTGGTCGCCCTGGGCCTCTCCGCTAGGCTGTCAAGACACCTCCCCTTAGAGGACACAGGGAGGCAGGCGTGACAGCCCCCGGAGGGGCGCACGACCCTTTCTGCGGACGCAGGCGAGTGCCTTGCCCGGCTCCAGGTCTGCGTTTCCTGAGCCCCGCACGCCGTTTCCCGTCGAGTGTCCCTGCGCCACCCCGGGCTGCCCACCTGGGACAGAGCCCGCTAAGTACGGCGCCAGGCACCCGCACCATGCAGTTCGGGGGTGTGTGCCTCTCCAACTTTCTCCCCTGTCGGGACCTCTGCGGAAATGCTCCTCCATCCCTCAGGGGGCGGCGCCTGACAAAGGTCCCCAGGTACCTGCGGGGGCTCAGGTGACCGACGGCCGGCCCCTCCGCGCTCTACCATCCGGGGCTGCGAGCACAGGTGTTGCATGTGCAGACTACCTTTGATTATAAAACAAATACCAGGACAGGGATCTGACATCCCCGTCAGAGAGAGAGAGGAAAAAAAAACTTTATTTTCCGCCCCCCGCCCCTCCCCTCTGTGGCGCCACGCTGATAGGCTGGAAGGCAGCGCAAAGAGGAAGACGGGGGAGGGCGGCATTTCAGGGAGATAATTGACTTCGGAAATGCTATGTCTGAGATGTAGGACGAAAACAAGTGAAAATATGTTATTTTACAACCTTGATCCTCCTGACCTCATGGAAAATAAACACACGGCGCGAGAGGCGAGCAGGTGCACGCGAGGAGGGTCCTAGCGCGGGGCGCTGGCGCCCTCGCGTGGCCGTGAGGAGTAGTGCCTCGGGCGCACGCTCTCCTTCCCAGGAACAGGCTGTCGCCCACTGGCTGCACTGAAGCTAGAAAGAGCCATTCATTGAAAAGGAGAGTAGTTCATAAAAGCCTCCTTTCTCTACCCAAAATGTCCTTGTCATCCCTAGGGCTGGCATTTTAGAAGAGGAGAGGCCAGTATAGTAAGAAAACTCAATCCTAAAGCTGGGTTTTAGTGACGTACCTGCTATGCATGCATCGTGGGTCTCAGTTTCATCACCTGTGAAATGATGAACAAGAATTTGACCTTGTTTCTGGGTCCTTCAGGCCGGGATAGTCTGCCCTTGAGGAATCAGAGAGCTGGAAGATCACTGACACTAGTCTGGTGGGGGACTCTCTGTGTGGCTTCCTTTCGTGGGACCCCCTTCGGTGCTGTGACTGTCTTTCTCTAGTTCCTGTGAGTCTGGCTTCATCTCAGTGCAGCACAGCCAGCTCTGCTGCTCCATTTGCTGTTGCGGGAATATCGCCATTGTTATTCGCAAGGCTGACTTCTCTGTCAGGTCACCTGTCACACTCGCTGTGTCTCCGAAACTCTGAAAGAGAGAAAAACCTTTCCCTTGGGATGTGGGTTATCAGGCTCCTAAACTCCCCCCAGCTCCAAGATGTGCACCCACGGGAGATTCGTGAGCAGATGATGCTCTGAGCTCTGGATTAGGGATCCAAATGTGGGGTTCACAGTCCATAGTCGTATATTAATATTTTCCTTTTCATCTGGGTCTAACACACTCTGCTCACTTGCTGCTAGGAAGGAAAGCTCCTGGCAAGCTTTCTCCCACTGTGCCCCAAAGTACCACTTTCTGCACTCATCCCTCATATGTGGAGCCCAGGTGAGCAGACCCCAACCCGCACCACCTCTGGGCCTGGAGGGACTTCCAGATCCCCAGGTCCATCTCACTTTAGTTCTCACCCAGGACTGACAGAGTCATTTAGCTTTTCTGTTCAAACCCTCAGGATATTTCTGTTAGGCAAGGCAGCCATCTCAGCCAGCTACACGGTTTATTAAGTGCATCAAACAGCAGAGGAGCTCATCTGCTGGCCATAGTTTGCAGAGTGGTTGTCTTGGTTAGATCTCAATATTTCATGGGTTGTTTTCCCAACACATTTTTAAATTCTTACTACTATGATATGATTTCACTGATGTTATTATAATTCATTTGTGTCTTGCATATCCCATAATATAGACTAGACCTTTGCCAAATGCATTATTATAACCTTTTTAGGAATGGTGGCCACATTAATAAATAATTATTACTTGATGAGTGCCTACTATGGGCAAAGAGAATTGAAATTTATTTCTTCCATTTCTCATGGTAGCCCCAGACAGGACGCAGTATAATCTCACTTTAACCAATGAAGACCCCGAGACTCAGGTAGGCTAGGTAGCCTACTTGAGTTATCACGGTCACCAACTCTAGAGGAGACAAAATCCACACCCAGCTCAGACTCCACAGCCCGTTTCCTGCTCATCGTAACCCTCCACGTGAAGTTCCATTTGGTGCCTTGATTCAGAAGAAGATCCACCGATCACCTCATTGGCCGTGGTTTTATACTCCCTCTTATGTGAAGGTGACTCAAATTTGAGGCACAGTATGGTTTTGGTATGAGTCCCCTAAGAACAAATGGTCCTGTCCCTATAGGAGAGGAAAGACTCAGAGTTGTGCTTGGCTCTGCTTCAAGGGGCAAGAATCTGGGGTCCAGAGACACCACTGTGAGGAGCTTCTATTGCATTAATACTTAGTGCTGGGGCCATGGGCAGGCAAACCACTGGGACCGCAAGTTTGGCTCTTAGAAACCCATTCAGGGAAGTCTGTTTCACCCTGTCTGATAGGACTGACACTTAGCCAAATTTTGAAATGAGGGCCTTGAACTTGAACCTTTGGCTTTCTCTTCTGGAGAATTTGGTTTTTGACAAGAGGCTATTGGAAGACACAAATGTCCATGTTGTCTCTAAAATATGTGAATCTATGGAAGAGGAACAGGAGACTTTGACTGTTTTCAAATATTTAAATGCAGCTTGGTGCAAAAGAATGAGATGTTTTCCATATAATCGTGTAAAGCAAAATCAAAACCAGTGGGAAGAAATTATTTGGGAATAATCAGTTCAATATAAAGCACATTTTAAAGTTTTGAGGTATCCAATGAAGTAAAGGGCTGTCCTGGAATTTTTCTAGCACCCGAGTGTGTGTCCATGTATGCACATGCATGTGTGTGCACATGTGTGCACATGCGTGCACATGCATGTGTGTGCCTGTGTGGGCATGTGGGTGCACTTGCTCATGCACACAGTGGAGGGGCAAATAGAAGAAAGAAAATCTAATCAGATGACCTTTATGATTCCATATTCTCTAGCCATCTATTATTAAATTTTTAAAAAATAGTCCTGCAACAACCACAACTAATTATTGGAGAGATATATTTGTTCAAGAACTTTGCCTGGGTCACTTTTTATTTTCTTTGAAAAAATTCAAACCATCAAAAAAAGCAACAAGAATAGCATCTTGAACAGCTTTCCTGCTTATTTACCACGCAGCCTCCAAGAACAAGGTATGCTCTTACAGAGCCGCAACACAATGACAAAAGCCAAAATTTAATGCAGATCCAGCGCTGCGATCTGGTATCCAGTCTGCATTCAAGCTCCTGCCCTGTCTGAATATTATCGTCCGCTACTGCATTCGCCCCCACGGCTGACCCGTCCACTTAGCTGCATGCAGTCGTCTTGTCTCTTTAGAGTCCTTTAATCTGGAACAGCGCTGCAGCCTTTGTCCTTCCTGACGCTGACAGTTTTGACGGTGACAGCCTGGTAGTGCCGGGCGCTCTTCAAATGTCGTTCATATCACCAGCAGATAGGTCTGTGCCCGGCACATGCTAAATATTGGATACCTGTGGCAGGCTGGGGACTCTGTGCGCTGGGCCCAGACTCCTGCCCACCTCCTGTGCAGGACTTACCTGGGAGGCAGCAGGCGCCAGGGACGGATGCCCAAGGTCTCAAACCTGCCACCTCAGGCCATCTGAGTTTGAGCAAGTGCCCACCTCCTGTGAAGGCCTGCTTCCTCCTCTGCGCAGTGAGGACCTCTCATGGCAGTAATGAGAATTGCGTGGCATGTTACAGGTAAAAGTCCTTAGTAAACTATGGCAAAGTGCTAGGCTGTTGCGATATATTATCATTTATTATTAATATACCAGCAAGGCAGCCTGAAGCTAGAATAGCATAGTGAGATTGAAAAATAATCTGTGTAAAAAACACTATGGAGAAAGACAAAAGTGTGCTAGCCAGCCAGGAAGGCTGAGTACCCAGCTGGACAGGGCCCTCAGGGTCCTTCTCCATGTGTCAAAGTCACCTCCCTCTGTGCTCACTTCCAGGGCTCCCACACCAGCATGGCCACGGCTTATTGAGCACTCACTCAGCGCCATGCACGCGCTTTTCCAAGAGAAGTCCTAAATCTCACGGCAGCCCTGCAAGCACTTGTGACCTTTGTGTCAAGATGCAGAGATAGAGTTTGGGAAAAGTTATGTTATTTACTCAAGAGTCCCACAGTCAGGAAGTGACAGAACCAGGAAGCACCTTCCCAAGACCCCTGCAGAGGCCTGGCCTGGGGTGGGGGCTGAGTCCCTGCTCCTGAGCTGTCCCTGGTAGCTGCATGACACACAGCTGGTCAGCAGGCCCTCCTCTGAGGTCTCAGGGTTTGTTGGAATCTGCACATTACCCACTCTATTTAAGCTAAGCGGCCCTTATTTCTTCATTGATGTGCAGATGTATGCTAATAAGCCCGGGTCTCACACTTCCCCATGACCTTCTCTCTGTTTGTTTATTGACTTGGAGACAAGGTCTGCAGAACTCCCTAAGGAAGTCCTGAGGCCTGCAGGTCCCAGGTCTCCTGCTGACACACTCCTCTCCCTCTCCCTTTCCCTTCCCCTGCCCGGCACAGCCCAGGATTTGGGAGAGGAGAGAGCAGGCACCCTGCTCACTGTGGTCCTCATGCGCTGCAGCGGGGACAGGGACAGCGGCTGGGCTGCAGCAGGGACACGATGGCGGCTGGGCTGTCCAACCTTCGCAGGGCCGGCGCTTCAGCCCCCTGGCCGTGCACGCCTCCAAGTAGCATTGCCCACACCTGGACCCGTGCTGGCCACGTGGCATCTGCTCGCTGGCACTTCCGCTCTGCTCAGCATGGAAGCCACGGAGGCAGCTGGGCCCGTGGGCGGTCTTCTACGCCTGGTCTGGCCATAGAGTAGAGACAGGAAGAAACGTGAGACGGCACCTTCCTCCTCTGCGCTCCCACCTCGCCTGGCCCTGGATGGGTTTGGGACTTTTAGACGTTCCCCAGCCTTTTCCCACCACACTTCAGAGACATTGCTCTTTGTCCTTCTCTCTTTCTCGGTCTCATTCCTCTCCTCCCTTTCTTTCTCTGGCAAGAGGCCGTGGGTCTCCTGTTTCTTTTTCAGTTTGGGGGAGAGGTTGTCACTGGCTCTACTCACCTTCTGTGACCAGATGGAGCAGGCTGCCTAGCTGGGCCTGCTGTGGCGCGTGGACAGCCCGCCCTTCACGTGCCCTGCAGCCCCTGCCGCCAGCACCTCTGTCTTCGTGCATGCAGCTCCCTGCGACATCCTTTCATGGTAGTCGTCACAGCTATCACAGTACATGATTGCTTCCTAAATAGAAAATATTCCATTTTTACAGCAAGTGCTCAAGGAGAGCAGCCGCTGCCCTGCCCCCCTCTGCATTCACACTCTGTGCCTGCCAGGCCAGCACCCCCAGAGACCACAGCCGGGGGCTCCCATCATCTGCTCACAGTGGGAGTCAGCCCTCCACCCCTCAGGTTCAGCAATCCGCGACATCTCACATTGGGACATGTTCCCTAGCTCTTCCCTCACCTCCTCCTGTGCCCTTGGGTCCACAAGGCCCACTGCTCAAAGTCAGGGGAGGAAGTTTTATGCATGAAGGGAAGAAAGAACAATGAGAAAAAGCAAGGGGTCTGGGGAAAGAGTTGAGTACAAACTCAAGATCAAATAGAGGAAAGGGTTTCCACCTTGCCTGCCAATTCCAGTCACTCTCAGTGGCTTCCTGGAGTAGTAGGCTGAGAAGGATTCCAAAGCCAAGTCTGGACTAGACAAGGAAGATGCCGCGATTGATTAATAATGCCTGCCGTGGGCACAGCATACACATGCTGACACGCTGCATCCAGCTTCCAGCGGCTTCACCAAGAGCTGATGTCAAGACCTCCGATTGTGCTATTCCTTCTGCAGTTCATGTCCAGTTTCTCTCTCTCCTTCTGACAGCTTCTGGGGCCATCTGACAGTTGCCCCTAGCAAGGTAGAAAGAAATGTTATAAAAATGTTGCAGTGTTAGTATCACCTGCTACTTCTTAGAAATGCAAAATCTTGGGCCCCACCAGAGATATGCTGACTTCAGACCTCTGGGGTGACAGCCAGAAATCTTACAGCCCTCCGGGTCAGCTTGGTGCCGGCTGCATTTGAGAACTACTGTGTTAGGAGAATTAAGAGGCGTGGGAGTTGAGATGGAAAAGGCTAGCACTGGCTTTTGATTCTTTTTCTTTTTCTTTTTTTTTTAACAGAGTCATGGAAAGGTGAATCTAATGGCTTAGGGTTTTCTGGGTGAAGCGGTGGAGAAAGGCCTGTGTCTTATAGCAATGTTCAGCAGCAGGTTTTACTGAGCTTAGTAAATCCCTCCCAGACCGGGGAGGGTGAAATCTCGGGGTGATTGCAGGATGTGACATTCCTGGGATCCCTGACTCTCCACTTCTCTATGGCGTTTATGCCTCTGTATCCCCCACTGCATCACTGGGCCTTCCCCTCCCCAGTCTGCCTGCTTGTGAGATCGGCATCTTGGACTTCAATAAAACGAACCAGAAAAGATACCTGATTTGGGCAGTTAGAGGGAAATGGGCATACCCAGTGACACGCATCTGTGTGTGTGTGTGTGTGTGTGTGTGTGTGTGTGTGTGTGTGCGCTTGTGTATGGATGCCTGGTGTGTCTGCGTGTGTCTGTGGTGTGTATCTGTGTGTGTGTTTCCCACCCTGACCACTATGGCTAGAGATCCAAGGTAAATGAAACGTGAGTACGAGTAGGTTGAGCTCACAGGGCCTTCCAATCTCGGATGATATCTCTGGAAAAAGCACATCCAGGGCCCAGACCCCAGGGCTGCAGGCAAAACCTGACCCCACTGACGCCTCTCGCCCACCTTCCCTGGGCAGTGGCTGGACCAGCGCTGAGACGTCTCCCGGCAGGAGGGATGCTTGGGCTAAATCCTGCATTATTTCACCAGGTTTCTGGTCTCAAATCCCTCCGTCGGCTGCTGATAGAGGCATTGCTGTCGGCATGCTACACTTCTGAGGAGCCTGAGTTTCCTCACCTGGAAAATAGGCTCAAAGGTTGTCGTGGGCACTAATTTAAGAGCCCTTGTGTATATAAAATAGCAACTGCAATTTCAAGCTCTAGGGGTACCAGCAAGGACCAACTCAGAAGTTTCTTCCTCTGGGTGGTCCTGCTGTCTCACCTCCATTGGAAGCTGAGAGTCTCCTGTCCTCCCCTGTCCCTCCTCGCCGGCAGGCACAGTGGAGAGTGGAGGGCAGCACGCTCCCCTCCCAGCTTGCTCAGGACTGTCCCCGCCTGGGAGTCACAGGCCTGAACCTGTGAATCCAGAAGAGCCGGGTGCGCTGGCCACTGCCCACTGACTCAGAGACGGGCCCTCCCTCCGCAGTCCGCCCTCAGTGCACCCTCAGTGCACCTCTGCCCCGGTCTGCTCTCGGCGCCTACGTTGAAGCTCCCAAATTCACTCTAGTTTTGACAGTCGTGTCTGAAATCGACTTCCTCCCACATCAGAGGGTGCCTTCCAGCTGCTTCCCCGTCTCGTCTTTGAGTTTGTTCCCTTCTGGCTCCTGGCAGCCCAGGAGAGGGGCAGCCCAGCACCTGCTGGGTCGCAGGGGCAGGGGCTGCTCTCTGGGAAGGGCGTCCGTGCTCCCAGCTCTCTGCACACTCACCTGCCAGCCAGGACAGCGGCGTGAGATGGGGGAGCTTAGAAAGGCTAGCAAATGCCACGCACGCCCCACCCCCAGCCCCTGTCTGTCTCACTCCCGTGCATGCAGGGACACAGGCCCATGTGATTTCCTAGAAATTCTCCTGCTGCAAATGACATCCCACACTTATCTGCACAGCTCTTGTTCTTCATTAGAACGGAACTGCCCTCTGAAAGCTCAGCTTCCCTTCCTTACTGCAGCCCCCAGCAGAGGTCTGCGCGTCCTACCTGATCGCCAGGAGGATGCTAAGGGTCTCCCAGACTCCATCTCCCTCAGGAAGGGACCGGGGCCTCGGTGTCCCGAGAGGCACTTCCACAGGGCAGTCTGCAGCGGGCATGGGCAGGGCGCCAGGGAGGGGGGAGATGAGCTCTGCCCCGGAGTGTGGTGCGAAAGTCCCCGCCTTAGGAAATGGCGGAATGAGGAAGTGGGCTCCACGTGAAGTCCAAGGAGGTAGATCCCGCACGAGCCAAGACGGAGACATATGACGGGGTTACCAGAACCTACTTCTGTGTGGCAGGGCAGGTTTGTGGGTGCAGAACTGTACCCCAGATGTGTCAGAGGTTCGCCCGGTCAGCATGGCCACAGCAGACCTGCCCTGGGGCCGATTGGAACATGAATCAACAAGGCCTGCCATTATGGCACGGAGGAGGGGTGTGGCCTGAGTGAAGGCAGCCTGACCTGACCCCGCGCCGGCGTTAGTGCTCACACTCTCGGGCACTGCAGAGGGACACCCAAGAATGGGTGGCTGCGTGTTTTGAGGACGGTCCCCAGGGACAGGGGGTTCTGGGCTCTCCGTGTCACAGAGCTGATGGTTTCCCAGGCCAGCCTCTCCCCTGGGCCTTCCCGGCCCTGGTGCCACGCTGACTGGGGAGGGCAGCGCTTAGAAAGGGAATCCATGAAGGGCAGGGTGGCAAGAGGTCCCTGTGAGTGAGACAAACCCCACTCGCTCCGAGTTCAGCAGCACTGGGTTCTAGTCCTAGCTCTACTCCTCGCCCGCCATGTGTAGAGCATTCAGGTTCATTAGACCGAAACTGCATGAGGACCGAGGACCCCCGCAGTTGGGGAGAAGCTAGGACTGCCCGACCCAAACCAGCCCTTCGCAACACACAGCTCCCAGGACAAGCAAGCCGCCATGGGGGCCTCCCCAGCCAGCACCTGCGGGAAGGCCCTGGGCGTTGAATGATGACTTGGGCAGGCCCATAGCCCTCAGCTCTCCCAGGGCTAGCCCAGTGGTAACGTCGGCTCTGTTGCCAGCCTGCGTGTTCATGTCCTCTCCTGTCACCTGCTCCTATGCACTCTGCGGCAGCCGCGTTGCTCTCCGCCTCACCTCCCCCCACCCCCACATACCCAGCGCGTTCCGGCCTCGACTGTGCACCTGCTGGTTTTCCGCCTGCTGCGCTCTGTCCCCTCCCTTCCCTTAGGCCTGCCCGCAAATGTCCCTTGTCAGAAATGACTCCCGATGCCCCTGTCTAGTGGAAACAGTGCCACAGCATTCCACCCCCTTACATTGGTTTACTGCTTTTCTTTGGCATCTTCAGGAAACATGTGACATGTTACCCACTTATTGTTTAGTGTCAATCGCACTCCACCCCCCACACTAACATAAAAGTTCCACATGATCAGGGACATTGATTCGTTCACTTTTTCATCCACAGCGTTTAGAATATTGGGACAAAAACACAGTCAATACATAAGTGTTTGGAGTGTAGTCATGGGGACTAGAGGGACATTTCCAGCTGAGATCCTATGACTGCATCCCACATGAGCAGCGCTGTGCTTGGCAGGGGATGTTTACAAAGAAGTCTAGACTCAGCCCCACCTGCCAGGGCCTTATATGGCAAAGGAGGGGAGAACATAAAACTCTGAATAGCCTGGGGGTGGTGGGAGCCCCCCGGAGCACATGTCCCATCAGGTACCACAGTTGACCTTGAACAACCTGGGGGTTAGGGGCACAGACCCTCCCCCACCGTAAAAAATCCTCCTATAACTTTGACTTCTCCCAGACTTAATTACTAACAGCCTGTTGTTGACTGACCAATAACATAAGCAACCAATTAACACATATTTCGCATGTGATGTGTATTATATACTGCTTACAATAAAGTCAGCTAGACAAAAGAAAATGTTACTATGAAAATCATAAGGAAGAAAATATATTGACTATTCATTAAGTGGAAGTGGCTCGCTATAGAGGTCTCCATCCTTCATGATGAGTAGGCTAAGAGGAGGAGGAAGGGGAGGGGTTGGTTGCTGTCTCTGGCGTGGCAGAGGTGGGAGAGGTGGAGGAGGAGGAAGGGAGGAGAGGCAGGCACACTCGGCGTAACTGTTACTGAAAAAACTCTGTACATAAGTGACCCTGTGCATTGGCGCCTGCGTTGCGTGGTTCAGGGTCAACTGTATCTGATTCAGGGACCCTCTAGGTACCTCTAATGGCTCGGCCCCTCCCGACACCACCGCAGCGAGGCCAGCCAAGAGGTATAGGCAAGAATGGGGTAATTTCCTTTGATGTTTTCAAAGGTAGAAAATAATTTCTGTCCTTTTCTGAGAACCACTTAGCTGTAGGCTGAGGTTGGGGAAAGTTCTATGTGCTGGAAATGCTAATTAGGGGCAATTATAGCCCAGACTTGACCTGCCGGAGTGCACGTAAGAGAAGCAGCCCACGCAGCTGTGGCCCGGCAGGAGGGCTGTGGGAGCAGCTGAGCCAGGCCGGCAGGGCTGCGGGCCACAGGGCTGGTGAGGACAACCTGAACTGCTGTGCTGGACGGGCCGCAGGGACAGAACCATCAAACACTCCATTTGCCGGCCACGACTCAGGCAGATGGGGCTCAGACTCAATGCACCCACTTCCTGAGATGGCTTCTCCATTGTTGTCATGAAATACTAAGAGATTTAACTAACCCCAAGTTTCGGGAGACAATAATAATTGTACCTGCGTCTGACGTGACAACTCATGGAACATGGCCGTGCATGGGTGCACCTGCCGATAATGGTGGATGGCTGTCGTGCTGGAAGTGTGGGAGGAGCCGCCCCTCTCAGTGCCCTCTCCTCATGCCATGATGCACATGATGTCTCTGCCCAGAAAGACACCTGCCCCTTCCAACTCGGGTCTCTGGGCAGGGGCCCGGGCTGCCCAATCCCCTCAGTGACTCGAGTGAGGGTTGCCAGGGCGAGGCTTGCATCCTGCTGTGACCAGGGACGTCCAGGGTCCGGGCAGAGCCCTCTGCTACCCAGACCTCACCATGCTGGCCACCAGGCGGGGGCCTTGCCGCGTCCAGCCTGGAGTCGCCGCCTCTGCGTCTGTCTTCCCTGTCCCCTTGGAGTGACTGCAGAACGGGGACTCCACGCCACCCCTGTGCCTGGTGGGGGAGCGGGGTGCGCTGGGGGGGGGGTGAACACAAAGACGGGTGCCAAGCTCCTTCTGCTCAACGCCCAGAGCAACCTCACAGCCGGGTCCCTGGGGGAGGGGACAGGCCTGGGCGAGGGAGGAGCCGCCTGGGTTTGGCGCAGAAGGGCCACGAGATCCCCCTGCCCCTTCCTGGCCTCCGCTGTTGATCCTCGGGTTCCCAGACCCCCACGTCTGGGTCCTGCAGACCCTCCATCGCGTCCTCTCGGCGCTGAACGTGCCCTAGCAAAGCAATCAAGTGAAGGGATTTTTAAAAGAAAACTCATTTACCAACAGGCCTCTGGAGTAGTTGATGGGATAGCCCTCCTCTGGATGGAAATAGTGGTGTGATGGCCTCCCCGGGGCTAGTACTGCACCGACATTACAGCAGGCTAATAAACCCCGAGGGGTGCGAGGGAGGCTGCCAGGCGGCTCTCGCGTCTGCAGGAGGCAGCCTGCAGCTGCGGCGAGCGGCCACCAGAGGGCGCGGCGCTCCCGTGCCGCCCCGCCGCGGCAGAGCTCGGGCAGCAAGGCGGCTCTCCGCAGGGCGGGGCGGGGAGGGCCGCCCGAACTCTGCCCGCACCTCTGCCGGACCTCGGTGAGATGATCTGCAGTTGGAGTGGCGGCAGGATGTGTAGCGCTCATCACTAAATCAGGAACCCGCATGTTAATGATTCCTTTTAAAGCCCATGAAAAATGCTCCGAAAGCACATCAAAATGTGACTGAATACAGCACCTCTGTTTGGGAGAAGTCTGTGAGTTCAGCTCCCAAAGCCCCGAAGGCCAGAAGGACAGAGCGCTGGCCCGCCCGGCCCCTCCTCCTGCTGGCATCTCTCGGGCACACGCACCTGGTTGGCAGGGCCTTCTTCCTTCACCCGCTGCCCCTGTCCTCCCAGGTGGCTCTTACACCAGGGTCAGCGACTGGCTTATCCACCTTCACACCCCCAGGGCCTGCACTGTCCTGTGGCTCACAGCAGGGCTAAAATCAGGTTGTGAGTTGACCGTGGTGTTGTTTCTTCTGGGACGGGGTGACGCGCTTGCACCAGCCGCTCCCTGGCGTGTGATGGCAAAATCGTCAGTCCCGCCGTCAGATCATGGGACGCCTTTTGGGAGCAGGACAAGTGGCCGTCAGTCTCGCAGACCCGTGGGCAGGAGCCCCACCGCCATCAGAGATGGTCTTACCCAGCCCAAAGGCCCGTGCGCCCCAGCACGCCCTGGCGGCGTCTCTCAGAATGCTAGACTCACGACGGCTGCAGGGTACGCTTTTAGATAGTTCGCTAGTTGGTTTTTAAAAATGTATTTGGTTGGTTTCAATTTTACATGTGTATACCCTTCAGTGAAAACGAGCGCCAGCCAGTGATGGGATGTTTGTTAAGGAAAACCCAGGGCGCGCTCTCCGGGGAGGCCTTCTGTACCCAGAGCTATGCTTTGTGCTTGGGAGAACGGGCGTTCTCCTGTGGCCGCGCCCATGGCCTGTGGCTCAGAGCCGGGGCTCCGGGAGGGCCCGGCCAGGCAGGAACACGGGGCCGGCAGGGAGAGCCCTTTTGGCCTATGTCAGCCTCCCTGTGCGGCCTGGGCCCTCAGATGCCCAGCATCCTAAGGGGGTTGGCTCAGAGGGGCTGGGACAGAGAAGGAAGAGAGTGTCAGAGCAGGCGGAGAGTGACTCTGTGTCTCTTCTAATCCCAGCCCAGGATGGCAACTCTTTTATTTATTTATTTATTTATTTTAGGGTCTTAATTCAAAGTCTCGCTCAGTCCCCAGGCCGGGCTCCTGAGATTTGTCTTGTGGAATTCGGTTTTCCCACGAAGGCTGCCCTTAGCCCCATTCCCCTGAAAGCACTCATCCTTCACAGACGCTCTGAAGGCAGGTGGAGGGGAGGCGCGTGAGGGGGGCTGGCCGGGCCGGGCAGCATCCTGGGAGGGGTGGGACGGGGCCAGGCTTTGTGCAGAGGGACGGGAGCCACGTCGGAAGGGGGGCCTCAGGCCCTCATGTTTCCCGCCCTCCCGTGCTGGCATGTGCCCAAGGCTCATGGCTGCTCACACACTTGCTCTCTGAGCAGCCCCACTCTGAAAACACCTCCTCTTCTGTACATACCAACTTCATCTTCTTCCAGGACACCGGCCCTGATTTCGTGGCCCAGGCCTCTGCCTCCCCCGGCTCCCACTGCCTGCGCTGGAAGTAGGACTGAGAAAGAGACAAGGTGGCAAAAAATAGAGGAATTATAAGAGTCATCACCACCTTGTACTCCAGTTTTCCTTCAGATCACAAACTCTAACACAGACTACTGCTGCCAAAATACTACTGGGCACCGAGGGCCGGCCCGTGCAGGGAGAGTGCTGAGAACTGCACGTTCCTTTCCTTCCCTTCCCACATACCCTGAGGAGCAGGTGCCATCATCACCACCATTTTGCAGATGAGGAAACTAAGAGGTTGAGAAGGTGCATGTTGCCTCTGGTCACACGTCTAGTCTCACTTCCAGTCCATTCTGTGACCACTCTTAAATTGGCAGAAGTCACTTAGAATCTCCTCAAAAGTCCTCACAGGCTGGAAGGACATTCCTTGTACAACTGTGCCATTAGTGTCCCAATGCCTTGAGAGAGAAAGACATACCACTCTGCTTCGTCTCAGAGGTCCGGTGGCGAAAGGCATATAAGATAGAGATGCCCAGGTCCCCTCTAGTCCATCTTCTCCCACCCCACCACCCCTACCACCCAGGCTGGGACTGCACACCCCAGGGGCCTGGATCAAGGCTGCTCTCGCCCTTCCTGCTGGCAGCTGGCACCGTGCCCCAAGCCACCCGATTCCCGCTCACTTTACCTGCGAGCCCTCCAGAGAGACTTAGCACTGAAAAGGAATTATTTTGCTTTAATAGTAAATACCAATTATTTTTGGCCAAATGCCTATTACCTGGAACAGAGGGATTTTCATTTACACGGTTGGCTCCCTGGTCTAAACATGATGAAATTCAACAGGATAATCCTCTGCTGCTGTGTTTGCAATGACAGCAGAGAGGGACCCATGCCACTGAACTCTCACCATGAGAGGAATTCATTCCACACCCGGGACTGGAGACCACCAAGCCTTCCCCTCACACACATCTGTCCCTGAGCTCATGCGTTTGCAGAACTGAGAAGAGGAGCACACCAAGCTGGCAGGGAAAGGGTCTGGATTCCAGAGTAAAGAAGAAAGGAAAACATACCGCCCAGTGAGGCTTCCCCAACACCCTGGTGCAGTTCACACATTCACAGACATTTTATCTGGAATATGAGCAAAACTGCCAAAATCCTGGAAATCGAGGGGCAGGCATTCTCCCAGAGGAATGCATGTAGTAGTAGGTAGAGATGTGCACCCCAACACCCAACGACATGGACATGACACAACACACAAACGTCCAGGGATCAGCTAGACAGAACCAGGCACAAGGCAGCCCAGTGCACCTGGGCCAGCCCGCAAGCGGGCTGTGGAGATGCACCAACAAGGCACAAGTTGACACAGTGGTGCCACACGGGGACCCCCTGCAGCCAGAAACCCACTAGAGAATGGTTATTGTTACCTAAAGAAGTGAAAGTGTTCCCTGCCCCTAAAAATCACACACTGATGTTGTCCTGTACTGAAATGCAGAACAAACTTCTGGCCTTCTGGTTGTCAGAACCGGGAGTGTCCTGAGTTAGAGGCTGCCAGAGGGCAGTCTGGGGGCCAGATAAAGGCCCCAGCTGTGAGTGCTAAGCTGAGGCCATGGCCCAAATCAAGAGGGTTTCTCTTTATAGTTTGGGAAGAGAAGGGACCAGGACAAGCGTGGGATATGGGGTTGGGTGAAGATGGGGACCTGGAGCTGAAGCTGTGTCTTGTTCTTCCCATTGCTTCACCTGCAGTGCTCTGGGACAACATCATAGCCAAGTAATGACTGTCCCCTCCCCTCCCACCAATAAAAAATCAATTAGCATAGAAAGAAGAAACAACAGGGATTATAATCAGGAACCCTTCTTCCACAGTGGAATCACCTGACCCAAGGAATCTTGGATAAGTATGACTTTTTTAAAAACTGGAGGAGGGGGTGTTGGGTGCAGATACAGGCACCCCTGGGAGTGGTGGGTGCAGGTGTGGTCACCACAGCAAGAAGCCCTCCCTTGAGGGATCACTGAGGCTCAGCCCTCCTGCCCCCGCCACATGACACCCCCTGAGCTCCTGGACTCCCTGGGCTCACAGAGCAGGGACGTGGGGAGCTGGCTGAGGATGAGCTGGGGGGGAGCTTGCGGCTGTC